TGGGAGAATGTGTGAAGTCAGTATGACCATAAAATGTTATTAAACGCAGAGACCTGTTCGTGTCGTTCATTAACTGAGTGCCATTCCTGTTTCTCTGTTTTAACTAGTGTCCCTGTTCTTTTCCCTATGACTGTTTTACCTGGGTTTATGTTTTTGCCTTATATTGACTGTTTTACCTGGATCAATGTACTTGTCTTATATGAACGGTTTTACCTGGGCTCCAGTTTATATCTTATACTAGTTGTTTTACCTGTGTCCTGTTTTTGCCTTATATTGACCGTTTTTACCTGGATCAATGTTCTTGCCGTATATGAGCGGTTTTACCTGTCTAATACTGTCTGTTTACCTAGGTCCTATTTTCCCTAGGTCCCTGTTCTGGTCTTTTATGAATCATTTTACCTGGTCTGGATCTCTGTCTAATTTTTACCTGGGTCAATATTCTTGACTTTTATTGACTGTTTTACCTTAGTTGCTGTTCTTGTGTTTTCCTGGGTCTTGTCTTATATTGACCGTTTGACCGAGTTCCTATTTTCGTCTGATATTGACTGCTTTACCTCATGTTTTTGTCTTTTATAGACCGTTTCCTGAGTCATGCTCTTTGCTTTTATTGACTTTTTGTTCTTGTTTGGCATTTTCACTTTAGTCATGTTATTCCTTTTTTCGTATCATTCTATTTGTGAAACTCTTTTTGTCGCCGTAACACCGTGATAATTGTCATGTTTCATTCCCGTGATGTCATAATCGTGGCTTCTAAAACGAAATGCCTAGAACTGTCTTATTCACTCAAGAACAGTGGATCCCATTTCCTAACAAGGCTCGACTGTCAAATCCGACTTGAATCTTTCCATCTGATTCCCAGTCGAGTTATAAAAAGTTCCTGTTAAAAACATTTTGCTATTGTTTAGAGACAATAGACGACAAACTTATTGTTAATTCTAGCGTGCGTGTGGAACAATTTATTCCAAGGTGTTATCATATCCAGTAAACCTTATGTTTTCTTATCTCGTGTATAAAAAAAGAAAAACAGATTTCCAAACCACGTTACAAGACGGATAACATTGTATTTAAATCGATTTAGCATATGTTATGGAGTAGATATTTTAAACCAATATCCAGAGCTAGTAGTCATGATAAAATGCTTTTTTTACATTTTAAAGGAATGTAGTGCTCTGTTTTTTGTGTATCCGCAAAACCTGAATTTCACTATGACAATTTTAACTTAAAATCTGATCAAAATGGCTATGAATAAAGATTAGCATGCGAATCCTTGGTTTATCGTCCCTTCCAATAGACTTTATCCATGACCGCTTGGACCATTGACAACAATTAAGTCTGATTTTAAATTCCAAAAGATAAAATTTTTGAATTGAATTCGAACTCGATTACTGCACATTATAATAACTCCCCATGGATCTATTTAAATGTGTCACCACTGGCTTAAGTTTTATATGTTTCTAGGACGGTATACCTTTAAAACACGATTTGCATATAGATTATCGTCTTATAATGGTAATTTTTTTTACATTCAAATACAAGAAATGGGTCTTAAGAATTCTTCGTGCTTGTCTCAATAAAACATGTTTATTGAATTATATTGTATTGATATCTGTATTACAGGATTTATTTCTAACAACTGTTTTTTAATGTCGGCTGACACATGCTAATGCTGAGTTACAGCAGGAATCTACTCTGATTAAATTGGAATGCTAACGGCTTTTTACAATCAAGCACTTGCCACAGTAAATTATTTATACTATTCTAACCTACAAAAATCCGTAAAATTCAATGTAAGGGGCATTATTTGCCAGTTCGGGATTCGAGGCTAACGAGCAAGCACATCTTTGAATCCCAAATAACGAAATGAAATGGAGTATTACGTCGTACTTTTTTGAACATAACTGGGATAATGAACAACGACCTGGGAAAGACGTTTGCTTCATAATATGCAAATTCGTGTCAGATCACATCTTAGCATCTCCGAATCCCCAATAACGAACAACAAGCATGTGCCAATTCGTGATTCGTCCCTGTGAAATATCGTGCCTAACAAGCTTGAAGATCGTGACTCGGTAGTCGTGAACAACATACGATATCCAGTGTAAGAACTCCACTAATTCATTTGCCATCTCTTCCCATGTAAAAAAAAAACATGTAATTCAACTTTCTACAACTTTTTCCAGAAATCTCGTTGAAAGCTTTCCATATGTCGAATGAAAGCCTTTATCGATCCATAACAAAAAATTGACCATGAAAATTTTGAGCTAGTCAAATTGAAAGTAGACTACTACCGCTTATACTCATCCGTTAGAGTTTGGCAATTCACAAAACGACTATTTTTAGAATTAGCCTTCTGCCAAATCTTAAAGATAATGCAATTTCAGACATCAAATCCCAAATCTAGGCCAAAAATTACTCAAAAATAGGCATGCAAAAACCCCAAAAGGATGAGAGAAAGAAGATTTCTAAAAATAACACAATCATTTCCATAAAATACTTTAGTGGAGTGAGTCCGTCAATATGATACTATCTATCCTTTTCCCCGTGGAATAAAGGGAGACAACATCGACAATCGACAGTCAAGGTGACAAACAACAATCTTTACCGAATAAAAAATGTAAATGTAATTCCCCTGAAACTAACTAGAGTCAGTTTGCCTCTACATACAACATAATTTACCATCAAATCTGCTCTATTTAGGGAAAAGCATAAAAACTCACTCAAAGTTCAAACTACTTCACAGTACAGGACAATCTTGAAACTGACCAGTAAATTGAAAAATATGTATAAACAATCATTTTCCCCATTGGCCAATTATTTTTTGTTGACAACCCACCCATGAAAAATGAACAGAAACAGTCGATACTAAAATCTATTTCGTTGATAAATAGTGACCATACTACGGAGCCCCTCAGGCGCAATTTTAAACATATTTATTTATCATTTCGTTTAAACGAAATAATTAATTCGTTTAAACGAAATAATTAATTCTTTTAATCGAAATAATTATTTCGTTTAAACGAAATATTATTTCGTTTAAACGAAATAAATGATGTTATTTCGTTTAAACGAATTAATTATTTCGTTTAAACGAAATAATTAATAAATATTTTTACAATTGCGCCTTAGGGGCTCCGTACCATACCATAATTTAGCAACAATTAGCTATGCAATTTCTCTGTTCTTGAAGGCATATCCTTGGAACACTGATAATGTAGAAGGCAAGCTAAAAGTTTGTTGGGCCGGAAAAAATGTGAATTTTGTGTCCCTAATGTGAAAATAATTATATTCTGTCACTGATATTGTCATTGACAAGTGTTTCATGGTGTTTTCCCCACTGAATACACTGATTTATACAGTTTTATTTAGTAAAAATTCAGAAAGATTAAACAAAACCTCTTCGGATATGAATTCGATCTTTACATGATCATCCCATGAACACTTTCTCTTCGTTCTAGGAACACTGCACGACACGATAAATCGCACACGTTCATATTTTGTTGTGATTTCATTGAACTCGTGTGGTACACGATTGTTGTGATATAGACCTTATAATGAATGCTTATATGTAAGATATCTTTTTTTCATTCTCTGCTTTACTTTGTGTTTTGCGCTGTTTTACATTGTGTTAGCACTCACCATTATGATAGCGATACCATTCTATAGTACTATTATTGTCACAGATATATCATCTTTGCTCCATAGAACAAGCATTAACAATACTCACTTTTCACGTGCATTTGATACCGCATTCAACATTTTTCATTGTAATAAAAGAAGTCAACAAAGAAAATATACCTATGCCAGGCGTCTTTTGAGATTTTATTGCATAACTGAAATTCACTTTCCACAAATATCAAAATTTGTAATTTATAAAAGTTTCTTTTTTCCAATGTTCAAAAGAGACTTACTTCCCTTCATTCTGTTCTACTGTCTTTCTGACTTTGTTTATTTAACATGCTTTTAATTTCGTCGTCTTCTTCAAAAATAAAAGAAATGCATAAAATAATTGCAAAGCGGGCAAATTACATTATATATTTACCATTCATGATTTTATATAACTAGGAATTTTCATCATTCTCACACAACACGTGTGCAAACATACAAGTAATAAAATATTCATACTCAGGTAATATTTATACAATTACCACTGTTCCTATAAAACACCTCTAAACTACAGCAAGAATTCATACAACTCATAAAATACATTATTATGTGAAACATTCATGCAGTTCGTAGCATATCTAATAACCATAGCAAATATTCATTCAGCTCATGAAATACAAAATAATCAAAATCAAACATTCATGCATTTCATGGAATATAAATATGTAGTCCGAAACATCTGCCTATATTTCAGCCTCTGATTAACATTATGACTGTTGTCGGCTGGAGTAGAGTCAGACAAAATAGGCCCTGTTAAATGTGGATTTTCTACACCTCCGAAAATGCGTTTTTTCTAACATAATATTAAATTACCTTTACGATGACTGTAAATTAGTGATAGGCATCACCGTAACTTTCGTTTTGTTACTATCACGTGACTCTGTGACGTTTGAACAGTTTTAAATGGCCGATGCCAGTTCAGTTTCGTAAATTAAACTTTTACCGGAGACGTGACATAATTGGTGTAGGGAGAAAATGATGGTTTGACTGAACTACAAAATATTCATCTTTCCAAATATGTTGCATATCCGAGGTATCTAAATAGGTTTAAGAACTGCAGGGAGTCCCTATTTAACAGAGCCCTATTTAACAGCCTGTTTTTTTCTGTCTCTACACCAGTCGACATCTGTACAAATAGCTATCAGAGGCTGGAATACAGACAGATGTTTCGATCTAAACGATATAGTGAGACACTACTGCAAAGCATGAAGTATCTGTTAAGACATTCATACGACTAATATAATAGTTCGTCCTTCTTGTATCACTTTTTAAGATATCTGTTATTTCAGATGCAGAAAACACAGAACTTGGAAGATTGTAAAAAATACAGAATTAAAATGGCATTTGAAGCACTGGGATTACCTAGTTTAGTTGAGGAAAAAGATGGGTTTATAGGTCCAAAGGACAATAATCGCGATCTAAATAACAATGAAACTTTGATTTAGGAAACTTCAGTATTGATTCCAGGCATGCTATTGATAATGCTACAGACTATTTAAAAAGTGAAGAACAGCCCATAGGCTGTGATGTGGCTATGGGCGCTCTTGACTTGTCCGATAGACAGTTGAACTATGACTCTGATTTCGGTGACGTTTTGGGCATACCGTGTCTTGATTCTGTGATATCCATTGAATCTTTTGACATTACTAAAGACGCATATCTGAAGGCAGAACCTTTTGAATCCACTGATCTTTTCTTGGAAAACATCGAAGATTTGTTTCATGACAAGAGTATTGATATTGGCGACAATTCTTTAATGGAAGTGGATTTCTCTTTGAGTGCCCAAGATATTCGTCCTATCAATACCATGTCACAAGTCTCCAATTGTCTTAAAGCCAACTCAATATCTGATTCAAGGGAACGTCTAAACCAAGATGACTTGAGTCGCAGAGGTAGTAAATTTCAAGATGCTGTGAAAGAATATCAATGTCATCTTTGCCAACGCTCATATGTTGCTTTCCAAGAGTTCGAATTGCACTGTCAGAGTCATTATGAAAACAATAATAACACAAGATCAGACAGACAAAAAGAAAAAACTTGTAATATTTTTGAAATATTTGATGAAATCAAAATTGGTTCTGAAAGAAAACAACATTCAGCATCTAAAAACTTATTTTTAAAACACAATAACAGTCAATCTGTGGAATACATAGAAAACGAACTATCAGAAGACAGTAACAACATATCTTTTAAAAAACAAAACAACCCATCTTTAGAAGACAACTTATTATTAGAATACAGAGACAACATCTATTTAGAAAACGATCAAATTTCAGAAGAAAACAACCAATCTATACAATGTAACAGTCAGTCTCCAGACAACAATAGCTCATCTACAGGAAACAACATCCCCAGTCCATCTTCTGTAATTTACCATAAAGCCAATCAAACATATTGTCATTCTGTGGTAGAAGAGAACACTTCGCCAATTCATATCAATCACAAGAAAACAACCGCGAAAATACCGGTTCAGTATACAAATAAAAGACTTAAAACCACACAACACAATGACGTTAATAATGTGGTTCAAAATTGTGTTGTCGATATTGCTGTCATTGTGACCACACAGAGACGTGATGATAATGTTGACCAAATTAAGCAGACAAAGCAAAGAAGGGATAATGTTGAATCACCAAGATCAACTACCAAAGAGACTAACGTTCGTGGAAAGAAAAGATATCAATCATCACATGACAATCATATTACTCCAAAGCTGTCTGATATACAGATCCACTTCTGTCAGAAATGTGGCAAATCTTACAATAGACTGGACAGTTTACAAACTCATCTTAAGGATCACGATATGAGGGTCCAGAAAGCGCAACACAAGCATCTTAAAACATTTACAAATGAACTAAGTTTGAATCAACATAATGCGATTCATTCAGTATCAAAGCCTTACAAATGTGATGTATGTTGCATTTTTTTTTCGAAGAAAGAAAAATTTAGAGCGGCATTGTGCTAACCATGACCATGAAAGACCAAATCCGGCTGGATGTGGTGTATGTGGTAAACTTTACAAAATAAAAACTTTAAGACATCACATCCAATCACATTATCATAAGAAACGTTTTAACTGTGAGGTTTGTGATAGATCATTCAATGAAAAACATGTTTTAGAATTCCACACCAGGATGCATACAGGATCTAAACCGTATGAATGTCACATATGTCATAAACGATTTTCTTCTAAACCTATACTTCACATGCGACTGCATAGTGGAGAGAAACCCTATGAATGCGATATACGTGGTAAACGCTTCAATATCGTTAAAAATATGCGTCGACATTTAATAATACATACAGGACTAAAACCATATCAATGTGAAGTGTGTGAAAAATCGTTCAACGACCCAGGAGCATTAAAAACTCATAAAAGAATTCATACAGGAGAGACACCATACGCCTGTGACGTGTGTGATAAAATGTTTAGAACAAGTTGTGATCTGACAAGACACAGGCATATTCATTCCGGATATAAACCATTCAAATGTCATGTTTGTGGTAAATGTTTCCAGCAGAGATATAATTTACGAAGTCATTTAGAAATTCATACTGGTTATATCAAAGACTTTAAATGTGACGTATGTTGTAAATCATTTAGAACGAAGGGTACTCTGAAAATTCATATGAAAACACATACTGGAGAAAAACCATTTAAATGTCCTAAGTGTCCAAAGCGATTTAGTACTACTTCCTCTTTAAGTCTTCATGATATAGTTCATACTCAAGAGAAACCATTCAGTTGTAATGAATGTGGTAGAGCGTTTAGTTTACGGAGTAACATGACACGTCATATAAGAACACATACAGGAGAAACACCTTATAAATGTTTGATTTGCAACAAGCAATTTACAAATCCAAATGGTGTTCTTTATCATGAACAAATGCATAAAGGAGAAAAACCCTATAAGTGTCATGTTTGTGATAAGTCATTCCAATCCAATAGTCAAGTACGACAACATTTGCACAGAAACCATTATGACGAGAAGCGTTTTAAATGCAGCGTTTGTGAAAAATCTTTCAAATCAAATACCGAACTTAAAGCACATTCAAAAACTCATAGTCATGTAAAAGATTATAAATGTGAAGTCTGTTATAAATCGTTTAAACACAGGAGCAGTATACTCCTGCATATGAAGTCGCATGTTGGTGATAAACAGTACAAATGTGATGTTTGTTATAGGCAATTTACATCTTCTAGAGAAAGAAATGTTCACATGGGATGCCATACCGGAGATAAGTCTGAATGCAATATATGTGAGAAACAATTTTCTTCAAAATCTGGCTTATCGCGTCATATGAAACATGTTCATGACAAATGCGACTCAAAAAATTGTTGAATCCGATTTGACTCGATCTGATTTGAATTGTCACAGTATTGAAGTATTCCCGATTTATTTATTATCAATTTATTTATTATTAATTATCAATTTATTTATTTATATGGGTAACCTTAAAATTTGTCATGGACAGGACACAAATTCACAAAATTAATTATTATTAGTGTACGATTATATTTAAAATAATTTATTTATTACCGATCAAATTAAACGTTTTCTGAAGCTTTAGGATAAGTTCTGTCCGACATGATATTGTATCGAGTGTTTCGAAATGTTTCATCTTATCAATTATATCATAGTTCAGAGTGCGATCACAAGCTGCTTCAAGATACTGTCAATGTTAGTTGGTGATTTATACTTGATAATGATTTTGTATAGATTACAACAAGCATCATTTACGCCATATATCATAATCTGTTACAATGAATAATAACGTGGCTGAATAGGGCCTATGGTAAATCATCAATAAGTAAGTCTGATGATGTTCAACTCAAATCGGAACGACAATATTGATCTACAAATTCATCTAAATAATAAATAGTACAAAGTATTCGTCTTAAAACATATATTCATATCACGTTTGTAAAGAAGTGGTGCATTGAGATGTGCTTGATGAAGATTCTTCTCATGACAACAATTAATTCTACACTGTGTTTGAATTCGTTATCTTTCACTCTGAATGAAATATAAAAATAAAAATATAAAATTAATTTATGTGGGCATGCTAATCTTACTGTATTAGTTTATCACTTGTGATGGCGAAACCTAACTTCATATTCGAGTTTCCAAGAAAGGATCACTCCAAGAGCAAAGTAAGTAAAAATGGAGACGCTTCTGATTCGCTCAAAAAGGATGTTAAATCTGAAATTCGGATTAGTTATAACGATTCGGGAAAGGCGGTCGAGCATACCAAGGATGTTGAAGAGAAATGTATCCAGAATACCACTGAAGAAGACGAACTCTCAAATAACTCTAGTATCAAAGATGACGCAGAAGGTGAGTCAGCACAAAACAATTTACAAAATGACTCAGTTGATGAGCAAATGGTTATAGAGCAGGCATTCAGTCAAATCACCCACGACTACCGAAGTGATGAGGTCATTGAGGAAGAAGTTCCAAGAAATGACAAGGGGCAATCACAATTAACACATACAAGACCTCAGGAACCAAACAATTCTACCGATTCGGATAGCATCCACGGTAATGAAGAATCGTTCCAAAAAGAAATATCAATTTACGACTCAAACCCACCCATTGAAAAGTTTGTCGAAGATGAAGATACATCAATATTACAACAATCTCATTCACCAGACAATTCACAAGGAGCAAAGAATGAAGAAATGCCCGAATCCGATCAGCTGCAGACCAAAGACGATTCTTGTCAAACAGATCAAGCGATGGACTTCGCAGAAACCGGCCATATAAATCATGAGAGAAAGGAACTAAATACATATACCGGAACAGAGCCGTCGACTTTTCTGGAGTCGTTAACTGATGTCCATCACAAAGTCATTACATTAGAAATAGAAGCGCCACATCACTCAGCTGTAGATGGAGTTGACAATCTGGCTTTCCAAGATGATACATCCACAGTGAGTGGAGATGTCAAAAGAAGAAAAAGTGTAGGATTTCTAGAAAGTGGAGATGAAAGTGATACTCTCGGGTATGACGAGGAAAAGAAAATGTAAGTTAGTTAGCAGTAATCATAGAAACTATTCTGAAAGTCTTTTGATGATTGGTTAATGCTTTGGTAGTGTTTGAAATCGATTCCTCTATTCCTGGGCTTGGTTCATGCAATTTTGCACTTGATCAAGTGACTGGAAGACTAAAATCAGCCTTTTGATTGGGTGATGCTGTGATGTAGATTGGTGTGGTGACCTAAGCAGTTTTTCTTCATTGGGGCAACTTGACAATTGTTAAAAGTCGAAAGATGACGACTCGGTCCCCTTTTCTTAAAATTCAATATTTGATGATGTTTCTATGGTATCATCGACCTTCTTCATTAACAATGATAGCCTCTTACTATATTTCATTCAATATTTCAGATCAAAAAGACGAAAGAGTATACGATATAGTATTTATGATATCTTACAACGTCCAAACGAATCGAGTTCAAGAAAGAAAATAGGGCGATTCTTGGTAACGGTAGCTGCAGCTATCAATATGTATTTCAATATGGGAATTTGTTTTTCCCTTGGAACATTTCTTCCGTCATGGCTTGAAGAATTTCAAGAAACGAGATCAAAAACAGCTCTCATACAGTCGTTTACTATTGGAATGATATTCGGTTCTGGTAAGTATAATCTATTCAGTACAAAATCATATCAAGACGCACCAAAAGAATTCGAAGTGCTTAAATGCTGTGGAATTCATACTTCTTTTATTTGAATGATATATCAGCTTACTTTGCACACACTATTGACACTGCATGGCAATTATGTTGATGACTGATTTTCATTTATTCATATATATTTCAGGAATTATTGTAGGTGTACTAGTGGATAGGTATGGTGTTAGATTAGCAACATTTTGCGGTTCTGTCATGGCATCAATCGGTCTGCTTGGTGCTGTTTTCTGCCCGAATACTGTATCATTAATGGTCAGCTTAGGATTCCTTACAGGTTGGTTTGAAATGTAATGATTGTTCCGAAATAGTGAACCAAAGGGTATACCTAATCAAACGTGTTTGTTCTTACAATAAATCAATCGAACCTTTATGCAGGGGAAATTTTAAGTATATTAGGTCAATCTTTGCCAAAACAATATTTGTAATATTGAGGTAAGTGGCGTCATAGACACTTAAGATTCTGACCATGCACTGTTCCGTATGAATCACATTATAATCAACCGGTCTATTCCTAAATTCCGAGGTTTCTTATTATTATGACCACAGCCATATTTTTATCATTACAAAATAATTTTCTGGAATGTCAGGAGCAAAATGCTTTCATTTATTACAATCAAAGAAATTCTTGGTAAATGGCATGCTCTATAAAAATGAGAAACATCCATTTGAAAATGTCCTTTGAATAATAATAATTTATACCATAATCATTGGAATCTAGTAAAAATGTTATGATATATATTTCAGGACTTGGTTCCAGTTTTGTACAATTAGGAAGTGGAGTAACAATATCATTAACATATAAAAACTCTGCTAGTGTTGGATTAGGTCTTATAACAGCAGGTGGTGGATTAGGTGGATCTACAATGCCGTATATTATGAAAAGCCTGATTGAGTATTATGGATGGAGGGGTGCATTCTTTATACTCTCGGGATTAGCTTTACAAACTGTGGTATCAAGTTTGCTGATGACAAGTTTTATGGAACAGGCAGTTGGTGGCAGACGAGCTGCAAAAAGAGAACCAATTGCTTGGAAAACAAAAATTAAGACAATCTGTCGTCCGAAGTTCGTTCTGAATATTCTAGCAACAATGACTGGGTTTGGTGCCATGAATGGTTTTGTGTTTATCATATTTGACTATGCCGATAAAAACGATGGAAATGGTGTATTTTATTTGTTTTTGGCTACAGTATTAAGCACTGCTTCCAGATTAGCGTTCGGCGTTATCAATATGTTTTCTTTCGTTAACAGTTCAGCATTAATGGCTATAGCTGTGATAGGTGGAGGAGCATCAATTTTACTGCTTAGTATATCTGAAAGTTACGCCTTCACTTTATTCTTGATCTGTATATTTGGTATCTGTTACGGGGGACTGATTGGTATATATGGTGTAGTGGTTTTAGATTTGGTTGGGCGAGAGACTTTTGCCCTTGCAATTGGTTTAGGATCAACTTTTAATGGTACAGCTAGTACTCTTGGTGGATACTTTTTTGGTAAGTTTATAAGGTTATATTGATCTTTCGGACAATGAAATGACACATGGATTCCATTTTGAAAATTTGGTTCTTACCACAAGATAATTTCTCAACGATTCCTTCGGTCGACTATACCGGAGAGTGCACAGGGATATAAACAAAAATAAATTTCATTACTAAAGCGAAGATAAAAACATTTGAGTAAGAATCACAAAATTCAGGGGATACTTTTTAGGTAGCTATTTCAACGCAAGACACGTGAATCAGTTTACCATTTATTTCCAGGTCTACTTTATGATATAACCAAGACGTATTCTAGAGCTCTAGTTATTATGGGAAGTATACCAGTTGTCGCAGGTCTGGTTCCAATTACAATAGTACTTAATGATGTCATCTATAGACTTGTTTCCGGTATTATGCGAAAATCGTCCCCATGATATTACGGGTGTATGGAAGGTCTCAGTATAATTCTCAATCCCGATCTCTTTTTATTATTTTGTAGAGATAATAATAAAGTGTGATCATGGCTACATTTTAATGAATGGAGATCTAGAAATGTATGTTTGAAATGGTTAATTTTTTATCACAATAAATAAGCTAATCTGGCTGTATGGCAGGTGTACATCTTTTGATGCTGAATATATTATGCAGAGAAAAATCTAGTATCAGAATAGTTGGTTTAGAAATGTAGAATTAACTGGATGTAATTTGTTGAAGCAAATACTTCCTAAAATCTATTAACAACCACGGTAGCATTAATATCCAATTAGAAATAATAACCTCCCAGAAAAAAAAATTATTATAGAGAACTGATTTAATTGTTTAATCATTTATTATATTTATTGTTCAAGTCAAAATTCCAAAGCTTTGCTTCCATGAAGTTTTTTTTAGTTATATTAGGTAATTCAGAGGGGTGATATCGCAGAAAAAGAGACAAGCACAAGCTTTGTACTATTAAAATTATGACTGAAGAATACATCCACATTTGCTACACCATCTTTACATTAATCAATCGTAAAACCTTCTGTTATGAACAACAACAACCGAGCGTTGAACGTTCGTGGGAGAATTCCATAAAAGAAAGTAGATGTCACTTAATTTGTGCTTAGAAAGGTTCGAATCACAAGTAGAAAATTGAAATATATTTATCAAAATCCCCAAGCAGAAGACATTTGAAAAAAGTGATCCACCGTCTGAAATAAACCCCTAGAAAGGGCATTTTCTGGTATTCTCGAAGGGTAACACATATCCTGCCTATTTTTAAGTCATTTGGGAATAAATGTAAGCGCTGACGTTTAAAAGTACAAGCTGAAAATAATGTTTACATGATATTGCTACTACAAGCAGAAATTAAACTCGTTTAACATGGGACATGCTTATATATATTTGTATGAATACGATAATTATATTTTCAAAATGATTTTCCCTTGAGCACCACTATTATTGATAACTACATCATGAGCTTTATTCGCCTCTTCCAGTGAAAATGTCTGCCCAATATGAGGTTTGACCCAGCCGTAATTTATGCCGGCCTCCATGGCGTGTCTCATTTGTTTCCATTCAGACTAAAATAAAAAAAGTCAACAAAATATAACAACAAGAAAACTTAAGCTAAACTATTGGAAATCATTCCCCTGTTCTGTCCGTTTCTTTTAATTGAAACCACGTATACTAGAAAATATACTAAATCTAAAATAATTTTTTAACAATATCAAGATTGCATCATTTTAACTTCATTGAGTTAATCGGCAACGAATTCTGTTCTGTTCTGTTCAACGTTATGATTTAAATCAACACCTTACCTCTTTGGCACCCATTAAAGCCATTCCCGTCACAATACACTCTTTCTTCATAGTAAGTCTTGGGTTAATTTCTACTGTACCTCTACAACCTATTACCTATAACACAATAGTTGATCATTTTCAATTGAGCCACATATCTATCGTAATCCTATTAAATCAGGTTATCATATGATAAGAAATTCTTAATTTGAAAATTGTCTGAATCAATAAATTTCAAAGCATATTTTAGGAAATAAAGATTTATAAGATGAATATTGGCCAAGTTTGAAATTTTTAAGTTATTTCTAAAAGATAATATTCAAATTACTATTTCAGTAAAACAGAGGATATAGTATTAAATCTATTGCAATATATGATATAAAGAAAAGAGAAAATATATTACTATAATACGTCCTTGTTGGTTGATAATTTCTAAATCTTTTCCTAAATTAACATTCGACAACATTTCTAAAATAATATCTACTCCACCGGGGACTGTCTTCTGAAATACATTAGAGTACACGATTAATTTTACATTAGTATGATGAAAAGCATATTGATTTGAATTATCTACGATCAGTGTCAAATCTACAGAAGATACAATAGGGATGATAGGCATGATAAAGAAAAGCAAAGAAGAATAATTACTGATGATGCGAACAACGTACCATGATCTGATCTGTATAATCCGAATCTTTATGATTAAAAACATAATCTGCACCATTGTCTTTGACTAGTTTACTACCTTCTTGAGAACCAGCTGTACCAATTACTGTTAAACCTAATGACTTAGCTAACTGTACACTGGCCAGACCTACCTGGAAATAAATATTTATTCGACTCATAAATACTGATATTTGGATTATTGCGTGAAGTCTTTAAATGATAAATATTAAAACATACCTTTCTGATAAAATATCAACAGGGGTGACCAGTTCTTGAGGCCTGTGCCTCATGCCAATAGACATTAAACATACATTCCCTACTTTACCTTCTAAAGTATCAAATGAATTTATGTTTTCATATTAGCTATAAATATTGATCTTTCATCAATTTCAAAATATTTAATATTCGTCTCATTTACAATACTTTTTCAAGAAATTATGAATACACGGAATTACTTACAGCACCACTAGCACCATGTATTAATACATTTTCACCAGCTTTACCTCCAGCCCTAAAATATTTACTTACAATTGTTTAATGCTATATCAAAAAGGGTATTCTGGCCTATATAATTGATGCTTGTATTAGCACTAATAACATTTCTCGCCCGACATCCGTTATTTTACGTTTGGGTCACATTAAGCAAAATACAAGAACCACAGACATCTGACAGTAAGCCTGTACTTGAGCATAGACTAGAATAGTCTGTCAATGCCGTCGGAAGAGAGTCAACTTGTCGGTATAGCTATAGAACACCTCTTTCCATTGTCTCTGACAGAACCAGGTTTATTAATGTCATACAGACTTTAATCAGCTGACAGAGCTCTGGAAATCTTGAAGCCTCGAAGCCTGTCTTCATTTTTTCGGTTTTATAGCTTTTAATAAATTTATATTAAATCAGCTTCTTGCTTTAACACTCTGAACATTCTAACATAATATACAACCATACATGACTGTCAAATAACTAAATCGTTGTATATATGTATGTTACATGCTTACCTTATTATAAGAGCTCTGTAGGCTGTATAATATGGCACACCAATACCAGCGCCTTCTTCAAAGCTTAATTTATCTCCAAGTCTGCCTATATACTGTGAAATAGCTGTAGCGTATTCGGCATAGGCACCGGATACAGTTCTTACTGTAAATACTCGATCACCAACCTGATTTGAAAATATACAATTGAGAGCTTTAAAAGTAAGCCATAAATATGCTTGCCGTAAGATAGGGATCGTTTTTGCACTAACAATGGTATAAAAAATGGTATTTTGGTTTGGTATGTGAGGTATCACCTTTTTCTCTCCAGATGACTCCATGGTTCAAGGTTCTAAATTATAAACAACACACGAATTGCTGCAAGTGTGAGATATGCATTTCTGGTGCGCCATTTTTGACCAATCATACTTTAGTCTCAGAAACGGAACTTATTTAGGTAAGCCAATCATTAATAGTGTTCACAGCTTACTGTCGAAATTTGAGTCTTCAAATCCATGTGTGTCAAGAATTATCCGCGTTTAAAAGTTAAAAAGACGAGTCGTCTTTTCTTGAGACACTGTCATATACAGAAAAGACAGCTATAGAAATACAAAAAGAAATTCCTACTTTGGGATATTTTTGAAGGAATTGTGCGATTTTCGAAGACCATTCACATATATTCAAGACTCAAATCCCCCCCCCCCCCCCACCCCCACCCCCCAGTGTTTGTTTGCTTTGAAGTTTATTATTACCTTAAAATCATTGACGTCTTTACCAACTTTCTCTACAATACCGGCTACATCTTGACCTGGTGTGTAGGGTAATGTAGGTAATGCTCCATATGTTCCTTGTCTAATGTAGGTATCTACAGGGTTCACCCCGGCCGCCTTAACCTTTATAAGTACCTTAAATCACAAGTCAGTAAATGTTATTTTTACCGTCAGAATGCTGGCAACTCATGTCCTGGACTGACATCATTTTTATCATGATGACAAAGATTTATGGAGAGAAATGAAGAAAATACAAAACTTTGTTGAAAGTTAGTTCAAATTCTGGAGGTATCCAGCCCTACTACATTTCATTCATAATATCATTATTTTTAATGTATATTTTGAATACGATATCCTCACATCCCGAGTATCTGGACAAAAGGACTCTATAAAACTTTAGCGTTTATACCATGCTGTGTCAATTGTTGTTTTTCTTTTTGTCACAGAAGACGGAGTTTCATACTATTAAAAATATATCGCCAGTGGGTATATTAGTTAACCTACTATCCAGTACTAGTGAAGTTATTTTAACAAGAATGTATTGACGTACCTCGGAGTCGGATACAGTCGGGATTGGTGTATCAGAAGCTACTTTTAAAACCTCGGGGCCACCAAATGATGTAATTCGTATATTCCTCATAATTTGTGTTGTGTTTCTCGCCAGAGACATCAATTATAACCAATTATCTACAACGACCCGACCGGTAAGTTATTAAATATAGGTCATAGAATTATACCTCGTTATCGTGTTATCTAAAGTGAATTTGAATACGATTGTAAAAGTTACAAGCATTGTATATTAAGGTGAATAACAAGGATATTCATTCAACATCACGTGTTTAAATCCGCATAGGCCTAAGTTTTATTTTCTCTAATCATGACATCAGCATTTATACACAGATAACTGAGACATGTTTAATAAGTCTTTACAGTCTTCAATTAATTCCATACTTCAATCTTATTTTACTCACATTGAAATATTGAAGCGTTTGTGCAACTTAGACCCTTTTATTTTTTGATTAATTCACTATTTATACTACTTACAAATTTATATTACCAAACTGGGAGTCTTCGGTTTAAATCAGTAAAGGGGGGTAACTGCAGTTTAATTGTGGTAGATTGTTTCAACATTTACTTACATAAAAATGTTACATGGGTTTACAATATTGCAGCCGTTCTGCTAAATGCCTTTAGAATGAAAGAATGCAGTAATAAAGGAATGACAAACAATGTCTAAATATCTTACCCAAGGAAAATATTGATGTCAGACGTCTACGTATTGTTAGTCGTATTTTATTTTCATCTTTATCAAGGGAAGTAATAAACCTACTCCTACTGCTTCAGACTACAAAGATCATTAGTATAACGATGAAAATCCTCCCCCTAAAATAACCCACATCTCTATCACTATAATATGTTCTGAAATAATATTCTCAGTTCAAACATAGGCATAGACTAGGGCTGCAACGATTCACCGATGCGTTGTATAAAAATAATCGCGATGTATCAGTACAATTAATTCCCAGCCCCTATCATAACAAATGACACAGAATCCTAGTGTGTATAAGAAATTGTGTCATGTTTTCATTTTTCAAAATTTGCAAAAAATCATTTAAAATTTATTTCTAAATGTTCTCAAATGTTAATAGTGACAAAATTGTTAGTTATTTTACAAATTTCTACTCTATTTTCTCGTTTCAAATCCAATAAATCAATCGCGATAATTATCGGAATAAATCGCATCGTTGGATGAGTATCGTTTAGTGTATCGAATCGCAACCTCAAGAGTCGTTGCAGCCCTAGCATAGCCAGTATTATCATCCGGGTGTGTCGTATTTAAATGTACATATGATAAAAAAAAAATCATTTTGAGTTATTACGATTTATGTTATAATGCTTCTCTTTTTGGCTTATTAAAATCTTTTTAATTACTTTAACTATTCCATTATAAGTGCAACTATTCATATCTAAAACAATTATTATTATGGTCATGCCACCAACATGAAAGCAAGGTATTTTGTGATACGTTAACAACGTATAAATAACGGAACACAATTGTATGGTATACTACTCCTTAATATTATTACACACTATAACGTTTTAACAATCTACATTGTCATCTTCAGGTGAAGCGAAGAAATATGGATAGGTAGGTAGATGACAAGTTAACGTTCGCTTCCAGCAGGAAATATGGTAGGTAGGTAGGAAGATGACAAGTTAACGTTCGCTTCCGGCGGATGCTGATATCGCAAACTAAGTAGTTGTTGGTAGTCGTAGTAGTTGGTAGTTGGATTGGTTCAAATTTGATGATTCTGTGTTGTTGTTATTGATTCTTCGTTAGATCTTTTCGGGTCGAATGAAATTGGCGGTGAAACTCGGCCCTGGATGGTGTGGCATGAGTAACTCGATCTCCTTCATTCTACCTAACATATATTCCAAATATTCGTTCTGATCGTGGTATTTCTTGTTGATCGAATGATAGTCGTTGGTTTGGTTTGGTTAGATTATATATTAACTGTTTGAAAACTAGAAGATCTGAAAAAAAGAGAACAAAAAGAAAGTGAGAAAAGAGTGACGAAAAAAATAAAAGGGGGAAAAGCTTTCGACAAAAGGGGGAAAGATGTTCTCTGATGTTTCTGATGGAAATATGGTACAAGAAAGTATTTATATACACAAAAAATAAACAATAGCAACAGTTAATTAGGGATTATATGTATTGTATAATCTGACAGTTTGATAGGCTTAATAAATTCATCTGTTACTTCGCACTATACATTAACAGTCTGGTGGCATCTTTTAATCATGTGATCAGTTCAGGTCAGAGGTCAAACTAAAATCGATGTCTATTTCTAGTTCGATATTGTATTACTGACCAATGACGTGACCTTTGACCCTATATACTTATGCATTATTTTCTGATTCAACCAGGTGGGTGTAATTATTTAGTGCTCTATTTAACTTCGTCTATATACTTAGAACATTTGTATAGCACTGTATTTGGACATGCCGTTGAGACAAAACTCTATGTATTTTCAGATTTATGAGGACGACGGCATAAATACCAGCTGGGGAACGGTATATCAGACGAATTGGACTGGAGAAAAATGAAATGAAGTGAATTGGTATTTACAATCAAAATTTTAACAGCAAAATCAGGTAATGAAAGAGGGATTGTATATTAGCTTGCATAATATTATACTTTATTCAGTAGTAGAAAATATGAAAGTGTGATAGGTTAGAATTAAAATAATCTTTCCACTTACTGCTTTGCAGTAAGTTTTGAGCAGATTTTAATAATCTATGTATGATATTTAACTCATGTAGCTGATAGAATTGATCATCATCATGTATTCTGAACGGACTTTAAAAACGGGTGTATTGTTAGATTTTTGGACAAGTATTGAAATTGGTTGTCCTATAATTTAACCAAGCATCATTGTCCCGATAGCCTAGTAGAAAACCACAGCCTTCCGAAGAAAAGAAAACTAGTCGGACAAAGCCTCTTACAACCTTAATCTAATCTTTGATTTTAAATCGGGGCTTTTTACAGTTTTTACAACCATAACCCAGCCTTAGACACCAATGATAATAACCCTTTGTTCTGTGCTCAAACGGACCGCCAGGTGTGATCCATTTGACTTATAATGTCGAATTATCCATTTTAAGTCCTTATTCCTTATGACAATTAAATGTCGTCAATTTCATCGTCAGCTCTCAGCCAATCAACCTTCTTTTTCATAAGTCTTATCTAATCAGATCTCTAGGACAGGGACGCTGAACCAATCATAATATAGTTATAATCTTTCAATCTCATTGTACAGTTAGTTTTCATGTTACTGGCGTGAGAAGAAGTTCTGGATGATATAACCTAGTGAAACAAAACTGAGATCCGCCCGTATTCAGATTTTTGTTAGTAGGTTAATGTGTTATTGCCTACGGCGCTTTGGATCATGAAATTGGTATAGAAATTAATAGCCCATGAATTAGGACTCGTGGTAGGACTCGTGGCCGTTATATAATGGTCATTCCATATTCAAAAAGGTACAATTTAATAGCTAATTTTTTAAGTACCAACATTAAAAGATTAACAGATTATCATTCCTGTCGATATGACGTATACAGTCGAGAGTATAAATATGAGAAGACTACTCTCTGTCTACCTACCTACCTACCTACCTCTCTGTCTTGAGTACTTAACAGGAAACGTTATTACTCATAAAGTCTTATCTTTGGCTACCTTTAAGACTAGTAGGCATTCGAAATTATTCTCGACTAGAAATACACTTTAAATTATTCTCTTGATGCTATTCTCTTGATGTTATTCTATTGAATGTCAACTTTAAGAACACAACGTGAAGTCTGATATTTATATAAAGATATTTGAAAACTGTTATTCAACTTATTTACGGACGGGGACCACCAGCATTGGATCGCAAAAAGGGGATATCGACAACACTTTGTCATACTAGATAAATATTGTAACCTGATGTACCTAGATGTTTTTACCAACCACTAACAGTTTTATTTTACAGTATGTGGCCTTTATCTTCCTTTATCTGTCTTATTTTATCCGTGATGCTCGAAAGAGCCTTACAAACTTCAGACACCCATGCCAAAAGGTTCCAACATTTACAAGTTATGTCCCTTGAAAAAATAATTTTGTTACAGATCATTTGTTTTGAATTATGTTAAAATAATATCATCGTAATTTTTTCATAATTACTGAGATAACGTCGCTTGTCTGTGGTTTACGTATGGTTGCTAACAGTTTATATATATATATCATATTTTCTTTTTGTTTTGTAGACTGTTAATTCATTGTACGAAATGGAATGATCACTAGTGAACGAGATTAAAACTGACACTTTGGGACTAAAAAATGACAAGTGTAACAAGAGAAGAATGTGGAATTTTTGAATGCAATCATTGTCATAAGTTCTTTACTACAGACCACAGCTTACAAAGACACATTACGAAGCGGCATAATCAAACCGTCACATCTGTAAAGGTTGTCGCACCATGTTATTCCGATGAGACTAGCGTGTTTACATATGCTGATGAAGAAACGCTCACCTGTGACGTTTGTGGTTTAACGTGTATTGGAGAAGCGTCGTTTTATAAACATATGTTTATTCATTCAAATAATAGTTTGTTAGTGAACACAACACACACTGTTATACAACATACAGATGTTAATGAATTAGTAAATCCAAAACCACAGTTTGATGAAACATCACTAGTGAATTATTCGAAACTTCATAAATGTGACATATGCAATAAAACGTTTGATAATTACGCAACATTGGAAGATCACAGAACGCGTTATTCTTGTCACCAGTGTGAAGCAGTGTTTTGTTCGTTTGAATTGTGTAAGAAGCACTTGATGAAGAAACACGTCGGCCATCATAGCCCACATCCCGCTAAGCGCAGTTTGTGTGCTAAAACTCACGACAACCAGATTAAAACCAAGCGACATAAAGGGTCTTCCATAGGTTCTCATGTAAACAGACGTGATACTGTGGTTGATACTGTTACCAGTAATAATGCGAAACCAAATGAATTGATCTATGCGTGTGATAACACCGGGTCCGAACACGATCTACTTGAACACCTGTATAGTGTCAGCAGTCTTATTCATACTGACATTGACAAACAGACTGTTCAAGTCTCTAAAATGGACAAACCAATGGTTTATAATAAACAACCTCAAGTCGTTTATGATTATAAGCATGTAAAACCGAATAACTGTACATATGACACTTCTGACGATCTTTACAAAAACAAACATTACACGAATAACTATTCTTACGATGACCGTTCCAACCATTCTGCAGGCCTTCCGAAAGAAAACTGTAATGACCACCCAACTACCGAACTCCACTTTACTGGCAATGCCTCTAATGAACCAAACACTTCGGTTTACCAACCCATTTTCAATAATCATTCTAAAGATGAAATAGGATATTCCAACAAGTTAGAGCATGATTTTGATGATCTAAACGATGATAATGGTATTGAGACAGGTCGTGCTTCTAATGATCTAAAGGTTAATAGCACTGGAAAAGACGATGTTTACGGTGGTCAAAATAGTGATGATGACATTGAGATAGTTCATGCTACTGGTGATTTAATAGGTGATACCATTGACCACACCAACTGTAATATTTATCAACCTAACATCAACAATCATAACACCGCTGAATCCGATCATGCTGCTGAATATTTAAATGAAGGTGGCTTTCAGCATAAAGACAACAAAATTAATCAAAAGCACAAATCAAATCATCTTAAACCATATGACAATACCAAAATCAGTTCAATCGACATGAAGATTCTTGTTGACGATAATAAAATATCCAACCCTAAAATCAGTGCCTCACAGAAGTCTGATAATAAAGGAAAGTATAGTAAGAAAACACCATATAAATGTCATGTATGTGAAAAAGTCTTTACACAGAGTTCACATTTTAAAAGTCATGCAGCATTACATACTGGTGAAGCCTACACTAAGTGTAAAATTTGTGGAAAATATTTGACTGCTGCTAGCATGTCGAAACATATAAACAGACACAAAGGAATAATTGAAAAAAATTACAAATGTCTCATTTGTGGTAAATCGTTTGCATCCAACTATTATTTCAAAATTCATAAAAGGATTCACACTGGAGAAAAGCCCTTTGGATGCAGCGTTTGTAAACAACGCTTTATACGTAAAGATAGTCTTAAGTTACATGTGTGTATGTCACGTAGAAAAGAGAAAGAAAGTAAGAAAGACACTACTAACTTGTCCAAAGACACATCGTACTGTGATATTTGTGGAACTACATTTAACAGTTCAAAATCATACAAAGCTCATTATAGGACGACACATCTTGATGAAGAACAAACCGATGACTACAATGACAGAAAACCTTTTAAATGTGATTTATGTGATAACAAATTTATTTCTAAAGGTAATCTGAAATATCACCTATACTCTCATCTAGGTAGGGAGGCCTTTCCTTACCAATGTGATGTTTGTTTTAAGAAATTTTCACACCAATCCAATTTAAGAGGTCATATGCGAACGCATACAAACGTTCGGCCATTTAAATGCGAAGTATGTGAAGTATCCTTTAAAAGAGGCACTCATCTAAGAAATCATATGCGAATTCATACAGGAGACTTTGATACCTGTCCGAAATGTGCCAAGACCTTTAGCCATGCGCGATATCTTAAAGATCATTTGAAACAGGTTCATAGTCTAATCTTAAACAAGGACTCACAACTCGTCAAATTCACCGAAACTACAAGGCTTAAGAAAGGTTTTAAATGTGAAATCTGTGGTAAAGAATTAACAAGAAAAACTCGACTTAATGATCATATGAGACTTCATACTGGCCACAAAGCATTTAAATGTGGTAATTGTGATGAAGGTTTTATATCAACTTATTATTTAAATAATCATTATAAACAATATCCCGAACACAAACAATGAAATAACTTTTATATTTTTAAAAACAGCTCCTAATTAATCCTGGATATCTGACAGTCGCTCTTTTTAGTGAGCTGCTGATATCCTCGCTTTACCAAGCTGTTCGGATGAGCATTGTTTATTGGAATAAATGTCGGCAGTATGAATTGAGTTCTAGTCAAATTAAATTCGGTTTCGGTTTTAATATTTATCTCTGTAAGTTTAAAATACACAAGCTTCATGTATGATTCAATCATTATACAGAATTATTCATTTGTTTACAGTCAAGTAACCTAATTTCGTGCTTACTTATTTTTCGTGCATCTCCGGAAATGATTAATAATTTACATATGCGACAATACAAAATGGAGGTTTTCAGTTATTACCAAATATCACAATTTTTTATCGGCCGAATTTCTTTATAATCCCAAGCTGTAATCGAAATTCCAAGTGTCGTCTGCTAGAATGTAGTCCAACGAATGAAGTCACGTGATTAACTAGCGGATTCCGTGTCAGCAGAAAAATTCTATGGAACACAATGTGGGCCATATTCTTATGTTTCTTTGTTCTTTCTTTCAATGTCTTTTAGCACTAAATCAAGCAACGTATCTTATTTTGTCAGTCAATTTTTTTTTAATAATGGTTCTTTGAATGAATTGTCACTAGTTATAATTACACTAGTAATGAATTGATATTAAAGATAAATACTAAGATAAGTTATTAATACCACTGGGTATCCATACAACGGGTTTTTCTCGACTTATTTATAGATCAAACATTTTACACGAAAATAGGTGAGACGTATTTTGCCGTCGTTGCCGAGTTGGTTGCTCATGAAATATTGGGGAGGGATTTATAAAGAAAACAATCCAATTTTAATTATTTTGTAGATTATCTGAGGAAACATCTAAGACATAAATTTTTTTAGGTTTTTTAACTTTGACGAAATTCGGTATTGAATCCTTATAAGCACGAAAATAGGTTACACGACTGTATACATGTATTTCAAATCTAACTTTATTATTTATTTGGTATTTGAAATAAAGTTACTGGTCTATTTTTAGATATGTTGCATTTATTCATGAACTTCTACCACCCTTTTTTAAGTTGGCTACTTATTTCAATATCCCTATGTCTTTTTATGTTTTCAATCACTGGCATCATTATGGAAATAGAGACTACAGCATTGAAGATCTTCGGAACAGCGACCAATGAATAAATCACACATAGGCCTAACTGATAAATGTTGGGTCCGAAAAATAAGTGTTTCCAAAGTTTTTTTATCATTAAAAATTTCTGTATTTCTTTATTGATGCATAGAAATTGGAGTAAACCAATGGAGTTACTTCCCATTGACAGATTAGTCTAATACTATAGTAATAAATAAACCAAGTACTAACTGCAAAACGAAACCCGAAATCCAAAACAAAATATTAACGAAACATTGGTAGCAGCTAATGAACTTTTCACATTAGTAACATCAATCATAAGTAAGTATTTCTTAATGAACATAGTATCAGGTGTCTAGAACAGTACGCATACCCTGCTAACGCCACCCCTTCTTTGCTGATCAACATACACAAATTAAAAACAGTATCAATTTCAAAAGTTCAAGGGAGGTAACTGATGAAAATATTTTTTCTCTCATTTCATGAATATATAGACACAGCTTTATGGAACAACAATCACTGGTAAAACCTTAACCAGTGATTGTTGTTCCATAAAGCTGTGTCTATATATCGTACTCACAATTGCTAAATGCCATTCAAAGACTTCATTTCATGAATATTCAAAATAAAATTTTCAACTGTATGCCATTTCTCTTAGAATGTCTTCGGGTCCATAGAAATATAAGTTTCAGTGATTTCACATTTTACTTCCCTTCCAGAAAATTCACTTGAAAATGACCTAGGCTACTTTCGGACTGAAAATTTCCCTATGTAAAATCATATTTACAAATAGACCTAATAACTTTTTTAGTGGTTAACATTTTCGTCAACCCAAAGACAACCACTCTCAGTGGTATTTTGTAGTTGATATTTCAATTCATTCGAAAATGATTGGCTAAATTCAATTCTGAAATCACTGTGGAGTAGATGATGGATTAGTCTCGTGTTCACGCTGGCTGGTGGTAATAACACGTAATAACATTTCCATGATCCAAAGTAATGCCCAAAAAGTTAACAACTATTCCTTATACATGTATATATCAAGGTTACATTCTAGCTGCAGTGGTCGTCAGATATTGTTTAGATGTGCAAGGGAGGTAAATAATAACCTCGCCTGACACAGATATTTTCATATCATTGAATTCTAAAGTTTGTTTTGAAATCACTGAAGTCTTCTTAATTTTTAATACCATTGAATTCTAAAGTTTTTTTAATTCTAAACTTTGATGTCAGAGAATTCTCAAGTTTAAGAAAGTTTAAATATCATAATAGAAATTCGGTATTCAGGTTATGTGCAATTATCAATGGAGATAACCCTGAACCGAAATTTTAATATACCGATTTAGGATCTTTCAGCAAAAATTTATGACGTGTTTAAAGGAAATAACATTTTAAAAGCAGGTAACCCTGACACACAAATTTTAATATCACTGAATTATAAAGATTGATTCTAATAAATACACAATTTTATATGTTCATATAGTGGTTTTATTGTTATTAAATATTCAGGATTTAAGCTAGATTTCAATATAAAGGCAGTAGATCGTTTTGTGTGCAAATCCTACAGTTTTCAATTAACCTTAATATCGGATGGAATGATTATTGGATAATCAAAATGTGTCTATCCTTTCTCGGACACTTCATTTCATTTGAATGGATATACTTATAAGTATCATTCGTCGCACTATAACGTCCATTTTATATGTGTGGGTGTAAAGCTACTAGATGATATTAGTAATAAGTCAATTATACTGTAGAAATATGAATAATACCATGCCGACCACGATATAGATAGTTTCTAATCACGTACAGTAAATATAGTTATTGTACTACACTAATTGACTATTCATTATCATTATAGTCAAAGTAAACAGTAAGTAATTAAGTACCTCTTGTGGCCTTGCTATGATCATGGCATAACCAATTGATCGACTTTTAACAATGTTATTTGCTCTATTTGTTGATAATATTTGGTTCTGCGTTACCACATACCATATTATGCATGAATATAACTGGTTACTCTTCAATCACCCTAATCTCCAACAGACATAATTCTACTTCGGTCTATTGTATTATCATATTTTGAAAATCCCGCGACGACGTTTGTCCGAGCATGGTAACATTAAGTGATTTTAAAGACAATTTTCATTGTTTCCGTGTAGGTAGAAGGAATGTCCCAAATGTGAATCTGGCTCAAAAAAAAAGTCTTCAACACTACGAACATGTCATTTCTTTTGAAATTCGCATGGCGCTCTCACAAAGATCACGACCTTTGGGCGATCTAAAGCATTCAATGTACAACCTCAACCGCATTATTGACTTGACTAATCCACCGATGTTTCTACCTCATTTTAAATGTAATATTAACCTCCGAATTTGGAATTGATAGTCATTCTCAAGGCGAATCTGGCATCCGTGCGTCATGATATGCTATATATGTACGCAGCAGTTCAATCATCAAGGACATAAGCACGCACCAGAGTAACTTTGAAGCGACTCTGCGGTAAAGGGCATATTTTATCTCTATGAGCCTTCATTTTACAATATTGACATGCCGATGTGTGTGATGGTATTTACTCCATAAGCCATGATTACTTATAGCGATGTTGGATCCTCTTATTCACCACCTTGTAAACAACCATCACGTCTTTGTGCCTTAAACATTGTACACCTTATAGTGCAAGGAACGTACTATATTTCATGCAATTTTTTTAGCCAGTACAGAAACATGTAAAGGTAATCGTTACATTAGAGTGAAACATCTAAACCATCCACACGATTTTTGTGCTTCCTCTTGTTGTTACTAGAAAAGTGAAATTGGCTGAGTATTATAAAATTTATTAAATTTACAATGATAAATAACAAGACTTAAAGATAAATCTAATTAAAACGACATGTAAACGTCTATGAAGATAATTTCTGATATGCTCTAATCTGACTGTTCAGGCAAGTAATGGCTATCAGTAACGATAATATTGTAGGTAAGTCCGTATGGAACCAGTGCTTAAGAAAACAGAGCAAGTTATTATACCATGGCAGTGGGTGTGATATGCAACGATACTATGTGTTCCGATTGAAATGTTCCAAAATTTTTCTTGACTTAAAAAGGCCGGGTAAAAAATAATTAATTTGCGTCACATGTCATGATTTATTAAATCAACACGTAAATTATCCTGTAAAATACATTCTGTCAGAGAAATGATTTCTAATTAAGAGACGTGTTATGTCTTAAAAGACGTATCTATAGAAGTTCTAAGAATCACATTTGGATTTGTCACAACTCAATATAATGAACAGTAGCCCTTGGATTCTTCTAGTGCAGTCCGTCTACCATGGTCAGCTTTACAAGATCGACTTCTTCCACAATCACATTCAAATACTGTTTCTCTAACTCTAGGTGGTTGATTGGAAACGCTCATACATTGCGAGTCAACAGTGGGGCATCTTGGCTGAAAACAAGGAGTTGCATAGGTGAGGTTTACATCATATTCGATCACATCCTGCCTTACTGACGTTAAATGAAGAATAATATTTTTGCCATTCTAATGCCAATAAATTGATATAGATCTTAGACTTTGAGTTGTCATCTATCAAAATCCGGTATTAAGATAGCATGGTTTTCAAAAATGATTCAGATACGCTAATCCACCTTGTTTGAATTTGTGACCTCGTAAGTCATCTTCCTGATTGAAAACTGATTTTTTTCGATTTCAGATGTTAGGATAGAAATATTTAAGATTACATACCAGCTCACAAACATATTCTTGGTAACGTTCATTATAACCTTGGTACCACGCTTTGCTGATGATCAATGGATGGTTACCAAAACAGCGACAGTTAAACTCCACGATTTCAGAAGGTACTAAACTATGACCTTTAACAACAAGAGCTGTTTCGTTACCACGACACATCCTTTGTGGTGCTACTGGACTACAGAATTTCATTTGTAAGGAAAGGAAGCGATCTAAAATTAAATGAAATGGGATCCATTAATGATTATCATCGACGAAATGTAAAATTCAAATTTGATCAAGGGCGATACGTTGGGAATGAAGGACAAAACATTTGACCACATTAATGGTATATTCAGCTTGTTAGTTATTCATCTATGTATATGCGGCTAAATTAGTGATCAAAAGTGTCAACTGAATTTAATGAAGTTTAAAAGAGCTAGAAAAAAAGACTGCTAATGTAATTGTAGTAGGGGTGCAATGCTGAATAAATGAAAGAATTCAAATAACATTTTAGGATCTTATGCTGGAAGAGCAAGAACAAGTCTACGTCCGAATCAGATTGACAGGGCAATGAAGACGCATCTTAGAGTAGTTCACAGTGTTTAGGGAGGTAACTTGATTCTCACGGGGTGTGATCTGGAATTCTTTTTCTAAGTGGACACCAAAAGTGACCGTTTGATGACAATATAATACTTATAGGAGGTTTACCCAGGATAAGCTTTCACTAAACCGGGGAAATGATTAATTCAAAGGAAATTGGCCGGAAGTGATGTGACCTTCATACACTACTATACGTATACCATTATGAGAATGATGAACCGGAAATGGTTTCTTGAATGAAGTTTTATAGTAGATATGACCTATTAGAAATTGTAAATTTGGGTAGATAAGACAATCTTTTGGCGGTCAGCCTAACTTATAAATCACTCTAATTACTTCAAGTGTGTTAAATTAGATTAGGCGTTGGTGTTGCGGGCTTTTAGAAGTCAAACTCTGTGAAAATTGATAATCTTAAAAGCTGTCAAGATAAGTATAGCCCGGAAAACTTATGTCTATACTGATAAATTAGCAATATGAAACTAGGTTCTTCATATTTCAAAGTTCTAATTGTGTATTTTAATGTGTGAAAAGCGTGGGTGTTTGTTTATTGGTAAACTTCTTAATGTTCTCACGCCAATTTATATGATCAATGAAATATTCATACCACCGCCAGGTACTAAAGTCTTTTAGAAAATAATATAGAGAAATTGGATAAGATAAAATAATTATCATATTTCCAGACTGGAAAGCTTCCGATATTGGTCTTGAGATAATGTCCGTTATTTGATGCTGTTATTCACGTTAAAAAAATAGGTGATAAACATTTTCTTTTGTGCCGACAGGTAACAAGTGTTGCGTTTTATGGCCTAAGTATATTACTTGGATTATAACTTGACCGAGAAATCCATTAATAATCATCTTCGGGAAAACTGTACTGTTGTTTATATACATTGCGGGTGGGAATTATCTTAATTTATCGTTATCTACGAAGAACATTTTCATCAACTTTCCCTGCCCTTCCTATCTTTTATTAAGCCAATTAATATTAAATTTTAGCTGATGTATATATAGATAAGTGAAAAATAGAAAAGTGCACTTCTAATAATAAAATTATTTAGTGAAAGTTTCTAAAACCACCAATGATAGTATGAAGAATAAACACAACCATATTTTTAACAACGAATATTCAAAAAACGGTTTAAGTAGGCAACCCTGGTAAAATCCTTATTAAGAAAGAGTGTAACACATGCTGTTTGGTCGGAGAATTAATGATTAACGGCAAACCAAAGTAAGGGTTATTCTTAAGTATCTCTTTATTGAAAATAAATAACATACCTTTTGATCTAAGATATCTTGTAATGGTATTTTCCGGCATTTCGTCCCATTCTAAAGGACACGTTCCACCAGCACAATTACATATATTAGGGCTTGTGAATATGCGATGGTCGCTAACCTGATTTGAAACTTGTTTTACCAGAATCTTGCATGGTTTAGATGCTGAAGAACATTGTTGTAATCTCTGAAAATAGAGATTTTGATTGAAATATTATAATGATAGGTCAGTTCCATTTTGATTTCGATTAAAGGTACCGTAGATATTTCAGGGTCAACTGGAAACCTAAAAATAAACCAATTATAAGATATGGTCTTCTATCCGTAAGAAATATGTCTTCTGAGCTATGTTGTTATAATTTCAATTTCATTGCTTCTCATTTAAACGGTTTTCATAATCAGGAGAAATGTTAACGAATAAAGTTTTAGTAATAAAAAAAATAGTTAACCTCGGTAATAATTAGAACCTTTTGAGTACATCAGTTATCATGTTCGACTGCACCCTTGCGCTTCTCAAATTATAGCGTTAACATCTATTTGCAGGTGCCAATAGGGTGTGCTCCAAACATTTTAACAAAATATAAATAACTATAATGTATATGTAATAAATATAGTTTGAAAATACTCAGTGTTATTCAGGCATTGTATACCTTGTACACCTAACCGGAAGTAAACTTTTTTTTCATGGGTTTTAGTAGTGTTAATATTTCGGACCATAAAAAATAGCTAATAAATTGTAAGAAATTATCAGTAAACAGTATGGCATATGAGTTTATATTTATTATTTGAGAATATTAAGAAACCAAATATCTATATTTTTTTTCTTTAAGATTTTATAAACGTCAGAAATTATTTCTTAAAGTCTTAAAGTACCAATTCAATTCCATGTTAACCGGTTGACTCATGGTTACGAATTTACACAATTTATGTCTCGAATCTAAGGTACACAGTTAGATACATTATTTATAGGTGTTCTATTGTCTTTATACGATACTGTATTCAGGCTAGATTTGATGGATGTGTAAGTTTCGTGGTCAGTATGTAGATAAAGAGGGCTTGGTTCCTGTTATTAGCCTGTGGAATTTCTCAAATAAAAGATAAAGTCTATTTATGGAATTGTAATATTAATATATCGTGATAAAATGTTAAAATAGACGTTTGTGATAAATGTGAATATTGTAAGTTGGAATATTTCGACTTAGCCGTGTTAATTACCTTTCATTACAATTGGTCGCATTGGCTCTCCACTGTATTTGTCTTCATTCTTCCAAATATGAAGATTGACAAATGCAATGTACAAACAAGCCAAGTATGAGTATACTGTATACTTTAAGAGCAATGGTTTGACTCTAAGGTCACGTTTTCAAAAATATATATCCTTCGTTCCCCTTTTGTCACTATCTATAGGCTTGTTGTTAAATCTGATATGATACTACCATAATGGACATGAGAGAATGGTCGTATAAACTTCACTGTTTCTTCTTTAGTGTGGTATTGGTAAAGAAGCGCTAAGCACACACACTATGGATCAAATCAGCACCTCATAAAGCAAGGTAAATGAATTCAGTCAAAAATTTATACAGCCAAGAACTTCTTATACCGTTCTTGATTATTGGGATTTGGGACCTTTCAAACATGAAATATCTGTCTGCATCCACAGCGTTCGTGTTCTATAATATAAGGTATGTATTTTACAATAATGACATGTAATGACATTTGACATTAATGTCATGCCATATAATCGTGACGGTATTTAATGTGAAAAAAAGTGTCCAGTCCTTGTTTTCAGTGTACCTTTGTTTTATACCTCTAAAACATAATATAATTTTGTACAGAATTATCAAAAACCTGAAAATATATTGTATTCGGTCAAAAAAGTAACATTAAGCACTATCAATGAAAATATTGTAAATTGAAAGAATATCATACCTATGGGTGATATTTTATTTTACTTTTATAATATTTACCGAAGGGATACTATATTTCTGGTAAAGCCAATTTTGATCTTTATGGGTTTTGTGTTCCCCTTGAGTCAAATATACAAATTTAAAAGTTTTCTGTGCGTTTTATTCTATATATTGGACATTTTTTAAAGTAAAAGAATTCTTGAACACCTATCTGTAGTAAACTGTTTAAAGCAATAAGAAAATTCAAATATCAACCATTGTGTCGTAGTCAAAGTTGAGAAGATGGCCACATATATTGTCTGAACTTTGTCTGCAATTCTTGTCTATTCTAGTTGAATACAATGATAATTACTTGTCATAATGATATATGATAATTATCAACAATAATTGATGTCAATAATGAATAGGAATTAATTTAGATAGACTTACAAAAGGCACATGTCTAAATTACACAGACTTCCTAATTAACCAATTATCAAGCCAAATTGAGAGAGAAATAGAGCAGCGGTAGGAAAATTTGTTTCAGAATGTGAACATATTTCACCATTTCAATGGTTTTATAGATCTAATATCTCCATGTTACTTGTTAAAAAAATTACAAATGGTAAATTTTAAAGAAAAAATTTGAAATTTGTGTAAAACATTAAATCTGAGAGGAACTGTTTATGCCAACGAACCATTTTCCTTAATTTGTCAAACCTTCATACCATGGTCGATGGTATCTAAACTACCGTGAACGTGGGCAACCATTACCAGAACTAGTTGATAGAACCCTGGAGCATTGGCTAATTCAGAAATTACATAAAAACGGGTGGTATATAGAAAAGTAGTTGTAAAAAAAAATTGTTCAAACCATTTCTGTTCTAAGTATTTTCATTAAAAACAATTTCATTGATACTTTAATGTTGTCAGTTTCTATTAGGTAACATACACTGCAAGTTTATGTATTTATAATATTTTTTGACATTATTATATCTCGTGATTTGTATAATCGATCGTTCTATAAAAATCTAAAATGTTTTTGGACAACTTCATTTTAAGTGCGCATTTACAAGAAAGTTAGCGTACCAAAGATAAATGCACGATACGTGTACACGAATAAAATTATTTTGTTTATAAGAAATCCAACTGCAAAATACGTAAACATTTACATTTTGGAGAAATGATGAATAAACTTACCGATTCACTGTCACCCTGGAAATAATATCCAGCAAATGGTGGAAAAGCCAGCACCGTAGAAAGCATGGATAAAACACATATCAAAGGGAATTCCATGTTGAAGTCTGCGATGATTATTCTTCTGTTGGATTTTCTCTTGGCTCCTATATTTATATAGTGTTTAACTGTCGCTACACCCACAACTGTCTTTTATATAGATAACCAACAAGGTGAAAATCCCTCTTAATACCAAGTCATTAATTTGAGATAACAATTTCATAAACTACCAATATCACAGACTGGAGATAATTTCTTACTCTTCAACTGACACTTTATACTTTTGATGTTTTTATCGTTTTTCGGCCTTTTTATAGACAATTTAAAATCAGAGTAAAAATCAGTCATTAATGAAAGCAATTAGTCAACAAACTTCTCGTACGTCAATCATACCACGTGATAATAATGATGTAATAATTAACCAATCATCTTCTTTCACTTAAGTTAAAAACAAGAGTGGGTGGAGAAATAAATGTTCTCATTGGACATTCTCATGTGCATAAAATTTATGAATGAAAATAACATATTCCAAGAAATTTTTGCGAATTCAAGATAACTTCGAAGATTTTGCTTGACCTACAAATTAATCAACACGGGATCGGTAAATATTACTGAATATGGCCAGTCTGGTAGTCTCAACATCTCCAATGGACATCCTTTAATAGCTTACAAAATTTTCGATTTTAGAAAAAATAATTGAACACTGCAAATCTGTAGATCTATATTTCTAAACATATCTGCACTTAATGCATCGTGTTGCGTTTGTAACGTCCACCAATGCAATGTGAAGCCAATGCGATATTGCATCAGAAAGTCTATCTTTTATAGCTCTCTAACTGTCAGGTGCAATATTTCATGAATAATCTAGTAGAGATGTAGAATCATTTACGAAAAATGATGGTATATTTATGTGGGGGTCTCGTGTTACACAAAACCAGAACTTGCCATTCCGTCGACGTGGAATATTACAACATTGGTTATTTGTTCTTCCTATATAAGTCATTCCTTTAATGCGTTACGTTACGGATCGAAAATATATTTGACAGTTTTTTTACGTTCAGGAATCATGGCGCTTGGAAGATTGATGTCTACAAATACCATCTTCACAATGTTAAGCTATTACGAACTTTGTCTTGACTGCAATAGTCACGGAATCCAGCAAATACAACAAATTAGAACCCCCAACGAAAAGACTGTAAACATTATGGCTTATTGGCCGTGATACAAGAATAGTGGCTATTGCAGTCAACGTATAAAGCGAAGTTCGTTTGACATTGTGACGATGAAAAATACTAGACGTAACTTTCCTATATAAGACATAATACACGTATAACAATGTAAAGCGATACTATAAACTGTATGAAATATAATGCTAATAAAGAAATATTTCGTGGTCTTTTGGACAATTATCCGACGATTATATACAATTTGGCGCCAAAGATCTTTCTAGGTTATTATATCTATCTTCTGATATTGATACCAACAATGACACAATCTGTGATATCTTGTGAGACATACCAGGTCATGGGAATTAATAATCAATTTGGGAAGAAAATTCTGAAAGTGAACGCCCAGGAACCTTCTTTTGGGTGGTTATGCCTACTAAATCAACATCCTGTGGTTAATCGCATAACCTTCGAATAGTCTTACATTATTATGCTATATATTAAAGGGACAGATGAGCCATTTTAAAGGGAGCAGAATTGAGTCTTGAATATTGTGTAAATAGTCTTCAGACGTACATGCCAGAAATGTACGAAAATCGCACAATTCCTCGAACTACGAATTTCTTATTCTATTTCTATGTCTTTTCTATGTCATTGTCTCAAGAAAAGACTTATCGTCTTTTTAAATTTCAAACGCGGATAATTCCGTTTCTTAGACCAAGGCTCGATAGGCAAATGAAATGGGACATCTGTCTTTTTAAGTTACGTTATTCAGTGACTGTTGGATGTAACATTTTAAAATGTTCAGGATCTAGAAATGACCTTAAAAGCTTTTTTAGCATTTTCTATATCATAAGCATTCCGTGCATTTTGTACGATTCACATCCTATAAACAACTTTACAGTAAGAGGGTTTGCCTGGACTTTGCCCAGACACATTCAGTCTAGACAGTTCTTACAGATTAATAATATGAATGGTATCCGACATTTCCTTTAAGGATCTCGATCTTAGCCGAAATAATCAGGCCTGATTTGTAATTGTTAGTCATTAGCCTACTAACAGATATTATTATACATGAATCAGAATTAAGGAACGTACATAATAGTCATTTTATAACAATTAAGTTATTGAAACTGGAGTCCAATACTTGACAGATACTGTACATTACCGTATCCTAACCCTTTAATACTTCACGTTATGATACGTTTTCCAAATACACTTTACACTATTAATACTTGGGGCCTGAAATTCTCGACGTAAGTAGATTGATAAAAATGGTTGAATAAAAAAAGCTGCTTGGAAATGACCATATACACTATAGACCGAAACATCTATCTCCATTCCAACCTCTGACAGGGATTTTGACAGCTGTCAGCTGGTGTAGAGACAGAAAAACTAGGCTCTGTGTTGTTTAAATTTTTTTGAAACCTATTCATTTAAATCGGATCTGCCAAACCCAGATATATTTGGAAAGATGGAAAATGTTTTAGTTCAGTCATACCAGCATTATTCCCCTACAATTTTATGACACATCTGTGGTTCCGTCACATTTTTTGTTTTAACAAAACCAATCTTAGACTGCATTCCCAACCCATAAGTTCAAGGGTCCAGGGGTCACTAACCAAACGAAAGTAATGGTAATGCCTTAAACTAATTTACAGTCAGTAAAGGTAATATAATATGTCAACAAGAGCACACCTTCGGAAATGTGGAAAATCCCCATAAAACACGGCCTAGTTTTTGTTACTCTACAGGCAGATGTTTCGGACTATACAAATATATTTTCTGTATAAAATAATTCTTTCCGTACAATAGTTTCTACAATGCACGGTACAGGATTGTTTTAGTTAGAAATGTTAGGCAATGATTTTTCAATAATCCATTGGCAGCGTCAATTCTAAGTACCCTTTGATTCTAAATGGGACAAGATGACGAGTAGTAAACATCACACATGCATTTGACAAAACAAGTACCACCTGAAGTAAAAACAACAACAACATGTATCGTCGCGTCCGCAAATATAATTGGCCTGCCTTAATAGCAATATTTTTCCTCTTTCTGTTCATTTTAAAAAATTCGGGTGAGTATAATATTTATCCCAGTCTTTCCTCACCATTGTCTTACAATAATTCAATAAGATGATTATTATCCAACATGGCAGCATTTTCAATTTTCAAATATGTTACCCCATTGTTGACTTACTGTCCGACCACAATGTTTACAGAATTGCATTTTAACGCTTATTTTGTATGAATAATCGACTCCCAAAATGCTACTCTGAGTCTTTGATTATCATTGGTTGATGGAATTATAAACCAGTCCAAAATGTGGGTCCTTTTTTACATGAAATTTCTAATGTGAAATCAACAAACCCTATATTTTTATAGATACAAAGGTATCCTTAAACAAATGACATGTAATTTCACCTTGAATATTTATGAAATATGACAGGAAAAAAATCAATCCTGAGATTACTGTGGTTGGAAAGTAATCCGAAAGTTCAAACAACTTCTTGTTTGTTTTCAAAAAAATATTTTATATCCGAATGGTGACTAGTACATTTTACTTTCTATGAATATATCAACAATCAGACCAAACATAAGCACAAAGAATCGAATGAAGACTTTACCAAAATGTAAAAAATGTCATTTTTCATTGTAGAATATGATAAATCAAACGATATTATGAGAAATATAGATCTAAATCTAGTTGATATAAAGGTAGGATTTGGAATGTTCTAATATGAAAATAAAACGCAATTTTCATGCTTAATCATAATATATTATTTTATAATGCTGAGGCTAAAACCTGTATCTTTGTTGGTATAATTTCGAATTCATTTCAGTTGAGAGATTCTCAGCAAAAAAAGGACATAGAGGGTAACAACTTGACTCACTTCATGTCAAACGTTTTTGAATCTCGACGAAAACGTATCAGAGATGGTTGTATATTAGATAGTCATGGCCAGGTTCAGAAGATATTAATATACAGACCATCTAACATATCATACTGTGTAATACCTAAAGCTGGTTGTACCTATTGGAAACAAATATTTAGGTAAGCAGCTATATTCTTTCCATGGAATTATTTGCATATATTCAATTCCAGTTAATGTCCTTGTTCTGTAAGACTAAATATTTACAGCATGCTGATAAGTACGATTATTCCAGTGGCTTTTGTGTACGCCCATATGAAAATACGGCTTGTATTTCCGCCGCCTCATCTGAACGCCTGTTAACGTTTTTGTCAGTACAGATTTCATTCCGTTTGGATGGAATTTGAACCGTACATGCAGAATACTGAGTTATTGCTTTTGACTGAATTGTAGGTTTTTGAATGGAGACGTTGGATCGAAGAATATTTCAAGCCCCTTTGAAATCAATAGAATGCTTGCACATTATGGTTCTTATAAACAGATGGGAAACATTTCCTTTAAAAGTGTTTCAGATCGTTATGATTTGTCATCTACTAGGCGTATACTTGTGGCCAGAAATCCTTATTCTAGATTATGGGCTGTCTACCTAGATAAATTTCTACTGCCTGACTTCTGGAGATCTCACGGAAAGGCCATCGCTAAACAAAAAATGCGTGCACTTAACTCATCTTTATCAATTTCTTCTGATGAGAGTGAACCGCTTTGTGCCAATAATATATCATTTGAAGATTTTATAAGATATGTTGTGAATATAGAAAGTCGAGGCTCTGGATCCAATGAACACTGGATTCCAATAAGTAAACAATGTAATCCTTGTTTATATCGCCCTGATTTTATCATCACTATGGAAACATTCGCTAGAGATTCCAAATTCATTCTGCAACATGTAGGGCTGGATCATCTGCTTAAATACCATCCCAAATCTCGTGTGTTAGATGAATTGAAAATGTTGATTAACTACAATTTTCAGTTATTAGGTGGGAAAATATCAAAGTGTATCAACGCCTTAGAATTGTGTAAACGTCTATGGAAGGTATTTCAGATTAACGGGTATATATCAGCTGAAACACCATTCCCAGAAATCTTTGAACTGAAACCATCCTCTCTCAATAAGCAACACTTTATGTCCTCAATAGTCAAGGCTGTCGACAAGAACCAAAATAGTGCTGCTGATCAGAAACAACAAAAATTGGTTGCTATGGAAACAGCGTATCAAATGTTACCAAAATCGTTACTGCGAATGATTCCTTATATTTATGAAAATGATTTCCGTCTATTTGGTTATGATCCTTATCCATATAATTTATTTAAAGATTACAAATTGTATCATTATTTAAAGAATTGAAAATTAAGTCTTTATCTTACAAATGTATATATAGTTTTCATTAAAATACGGGGATGGTACCATATATATCAAATTCTTATCATATTCCTTTCACTTCAAAATGATGAAATGATTCAGTTTTATATGTTACTGTTTGATACCATATTGGGTTAATGGAATGGGGTTTTACATGTCACTCTTTGATACTTTATTGGGCTAATGATATGAATATTTACATGTCCCTGTTTGATGCCTTATTGGGCTAATATTATGGTGATTTACATGCCACTGTTCGATGCCATATTGGGTTAATGATATGGAGATTTACACTTCACTGTTCGATATCTTGTTGGGCTAATGATATGGTGGTTTATATGTCACTGTTTGATATCTTATTGGACTAATAATATGGTGATGTATATGTCAATGTTTGATATCTTATTGGACTAATAATATGGTGATGTATATGTCAATGTTTGATATCTTATTGGACTAATAATATGGTGATGTATATGTCAATGTTTGATATCTTATTGGACTAATAATATGGTGATGTATATGTCAATGTTTGATATCTTGTTGGACTAATGATATGGAGATTTACATGCCACTGTTCGATATCTTATTGGGCTAATGATATGGTGATTTACATGCCACTGTTCGATGCCATATTGGGTTAATGATATGGAGATTTACACTTCACTGTTCGATATCTTGTTGGGCTAATGATATGGTGATGTATATGTCAATGTTTAATATCTTGTTGGACTAATGATATGGAGATTTACATGCCACTGTTCGATATCTTATTGGTCTAATGATATGGTGATGTATATGTCACTGTTTGATATCTTATTGGACTAATAATATAGTGATGTATATGTCACTGTTTGATATCTTTTTGGGCTAATGATATGGAGATTTACATGCCACTGATCGATATCTTATTGGGCTAATGATATGGAGATTTATATGCCACTGTTCCATATCTTATTGGGCTAATGATATGGAGATTTACATGCCACTGTTCGATATCTTGTTGGACTAATGATATGGAGATTTATATTCCACTGTTCGATATCTTTTTGGGCTAATGATATGGAGATTTACACTTCACTGTTAGATACTTTATTGGGCTAATGATGTGGTGATGTATATGTCAATGTTTGATATCTTATTGGACTAATAATATGGTGATGTATATGTCACTGTTTGATATCTTTTTGGGCTAATGATATGGAGATTTACATGCCACTGTTCGATATCTTATGGGGCTAATGATATAGAGATTTACATGCCACTGATCGATATCTTATTGGGCTCATGATATGGAGATTTACATGCCACCGTTCGATATCTTTTTGGGCTAATGATATGGAGATTTACACGCCACTGTTTGATATCTTATTGGGCTAATGAAATGGAGATTTACATGTTACTGATCGATATCTTATTGGGCTAATGAAATGGAGATTTACATGTTACTGATCGATATCTTATTGGGCTAATGAAATGGAGATTTACATGTTACTGTTCGGTATCTTATTGGGCTAATGAAATGGAGATTTACATGCCACTGATCGATATCTTATTGGGCTAATGATATGGAGATTTACATGCCACTGATCGATATCTTATTGGTCTAATGATATGGAGATTTACACTTCACTGTTAGATACTTTATTGGGCTAATGATATGGTGATGTATATGTCAATGTTTAATATCTTATTGGGCTAATGATATGGAGATTTATATGCCACTGTTTGATACGTTATTGGGCTAATGAAATGGGGTTTTACATGTTACTGATCGATATCTTATTGGGCTAATGATATGGAGATTTACATGCCACTGATCGATTTCTTATTGGTCTAATGATATGGAGATTTACACTTCACTGTTAGATACTTTATTGGGCTAATGATATGGTGATGTATATGTCAATGTTTGATATCTTTTTGGGCTAATGATATGGAGATTTACATGCCACTGACAGATATCTTATTGGACTAATGATATGGTGATGTATATTTTAATGTTTGATATCTTATTGGGCTAATGAAATGGAGATTTACATGCCACTGATCGATATCTTATTGGGCTAATGATATGGTGATGTATATGTCAATGTTTGATATCTTATTGGGCTAATGAAATGGAGATTTACATGCCACTGATCGATATCTTATTGGGCTAATGATATGGAGATTTACATGCCACTGTTAGATACTTTATTGGGCTAATGATATGGTGATGTATATTTTAATGTTTGATATCTTATTGGGCTAATGAAATGGAGATTTACATGCCACTGATCGATATCTTATTGGGCTAATGATATGGAGATTTATATGTCAATGTTTGATATCTTATTGGGCTAATGAAATGGAGATTTACATGCCACTGATCGATATCGTATTGGGCTAATGATATGGTGATGTATATGTCAATGTTTGATATCTTATTGGGCTAATGATATGGAGATTTACATGCCACTGATCGATATCTTATTGGGCTAATGATATGGTGATGTATATGTCAATGTTTGATATTTTATTGGGCTAATGAAATGGAGATTTACATGCCACTGATCGATATCTTATTGGGCTAATGATATGAAGATTTATATGCCACTGTTTGATACGTTATTGGGCTAATGAAATGGGGTTTTACATGTCACTGATCGATATCTTATTGGGCTAATGATATGGAGATTTACATGCTACTGATCGATATCTTATTGGGTCTAATGATATGGAGATTCACACTTCACTGTTAGATATCTTTATTGGGCTAATGATATGGTGATGTATATGTCAATGTTTGATATCTTATTGGACTAATAATATGGTGATGTATATGTCACTGTTTGATATCTTTTTGGGCTAATGATATGGAGATTTACATGCCACTGTTCGATATCTTATTGGGCTAATGATATGGAGATTTACATGCCACTGTTCGATATCTTGTTGGACTAATGATATGGAGATTTACACTTCAGTGTTAGATACTTTATTGGGCTAATGAAATGGGATCTTACATGTTACTATTCGGTATCTTATTGGTTTAATGATATGGAGATTTATATGTCACTGTTTGATATCTTATTGGGTAATGAAATGGAGATTTACATGCCACTGATCGATATCTTATTGGGCTAATGATATGGAGATTTACACTTCACTGTTAAATACTTTATTGGGCTAATGATATGGTGATGTATATGTCACTGTTTGATATCTTATTGGGTAATGAAATGGAGATTTACATGCCACTGATCGATATCTTATTGGGCTAATGATATGGAGATTTACACTTCACTGTAAGATACTTTATTGGGCTAATGATATGGTGATGTATATGTCACTATTTGATATCTTATTGGGTAATGATATGGAGATTTACATGCCACTGATCGATATCTTATTGGGCTAATGATATGGAGATTTACATGCCACTGATCGATATCTTATTGGTCTAATGATATGGAGATTTACACTTCACTGTTAGATACTTTATTGGGCTAATGATATGGTGAAGTATATGTCAATGTTTGATATCTTATTGGACTAATAATATGGTGATGTATATGTCACTGTTTGATATCTTATTGGGCTAATGATATGGAGATTTACATGCCACTGTTCGATATCTTGTTGGACTAATGATATGGAGATTTACACTTCACTGTAAGATACTTTATTGGGCTAATGATATGGTGATGTATATGTCACTGTTTGATATCTTATTGGGTAATGATATGGAGATTTACATGCCACTGATCGATATCTTATTGGGCTAATGATATGGAGATTTACATGCCACTGATCGATATCTTATTGGTCTAATGATATGGAGATTTACACTTCACTGTTAGATACTTTATTGGGCTAATGATATGGTGATGTATATGTCACTGTTTGATATCTTATTGGGCTAATGATATGGAGATTTACATGCCACTGATCGATATCTTATTGGGCTAATGATATGGTGAT